CTACGAGTGACTCACACATCATATGACAATGACATTGCTCAAGTGCAAACTGCTAATATCAATACTAAAGCTGTTTATACAACAAAAGCAAGGGAAACTTAAGGTTACTTCACCCCTCAGACATGCTTAGAAGATGCAGCCATTTGCCAATATTTTAGTCAGCTATGAGAGAAATCTACAGTTTCTTTCTGGCCAGAGAAACAAGTCACCCACAACTCTAGAGCAAAAGCTGAGTCCACTATGCTAGTCTCCTTTCTTCCCAGTTCATTATTTTCCCTTGTCAAGCACTGTTTTGGCATCTTCTCCTTGGCTTGGAAGAAACGGTGTTGATAAGCTCAAGCACAAGTGCTAGCTATCAAAAAGCAGGACAATTGCTGTACTTTCCTCTTCTATGGCCCAAACTCTTCAGAAGCCCAGGATGGCAAAGGCCCATTCAAGTACACTGCAGCTTTGGGGTGCTCAACTGAGAGAGAACGCAAGAACAGGAAAATCATTATACTTTCCTTTATAGCAGTCTCTTATACACTCTTGCATAGGCTGTGGATCTCGGAATACCTCTTCGAAGATCCCTGTGTGCAGACATTTTTTACTTTAATAGAAGCCATGATTCATTGCTGGGTCCCAGAAGAAAGGGCTTGAAGTTATACAGAGCTGCTTTCCATGCATCCGGGAAATCAGAATTCAGGGAACTGCTGCTGGGAATGCACAGCTCCCATCATGCTTTCTGGGGTGATGAGACTGCCACAGCCAAGGGGCTTCTGTCAAATCTAAACGACAGTGAGGAAGACAGAGAAACAAGTGACAGAAGTTCCTTCTTTATGCTTTTCTTCACAGAGGCAAGACTATACAGAAGAGATAATCTGAGTGGTAGTTACATTCTGCCTGTCAAGACAGCATCTTCCATACTGCAGACTTGCACACTATTACTGAGCACTTTCAGAGAAACACTGCAATTCCATTATGCAATTGCTACAGTTGCTATACAGGCATCCACAGAAGTGAAGTGTGATGTGATTTTTTTCATTACATTCTTACATTTCTTCCCTAGCCTTTCTCTTTGACATCAGCTGCAGTTCATTTACTCCCTGGCCTTGATGCTTACAGTGTTGGATGTGATAGGAACAGACGAAACATTGTTTTAATACAGGAAGGTTAATCTAAAATAACCCTCCTAAGCTGTTCATACTGCACGACAGTAACATTACAGGAGACATGGGTTCATGAATAGGATCAGCTTTCAATCCCCAGACCAGTGATAACAGCACTTGTCATGAAGATACTGCGCCTAGTCTCCAGGGGAAGTGCAGCTTCAGCTGCCACTTACACAGCTCCTTCTGTCAATCACTCCATGAAGCAATGCCAGCTGCTTCTTCTAAAAAAGTCATTTTCTTGACCTCCTAAAGGTAAATGCTATCATGACAAGAGATGAAAGATGGAAAACAATTTGCTGCAAGTATGCTCCGTAGCATCCCCATCACCTGTTAGTGTATTACAGCACCATGTGGCTCTGAACACATCTGTGTCACTGAGCAAATATATCAGTCTGGAATTAGACAAATTATTACAAACCCATCATACAAAAGAGTTTTAGAAAAATAAAAATAAGGATTTTTGGTCAAACATGTATGAGAGGCAACAAGTATTCATTGCTAAATGAGCATATCATTCACAATACAGTTTGCTTTTTTTTTTTTTTGTCATCTCAGTCCATATTCCTACATGACTGATCTTTACTTTAAATGCTCCCCTTCATACCAAGTTGGACTATAATCTCAGAGCACTAAGCAGTAAGCCTAGTCCAAAAGTTACACTGCCTTCACACATGGCAAAGGAATAGACCTCCTGAAGCTGCCATGGACTTTAAGTTCTCTTTAATCATGACTAAATCTGCCTTTTCATCAGCCTTCGTGCAGCTCCTCTAAGGACAGCACTTGTGCTTGCACCACAAACCATTCCAAACCATTTTCTTGAACCCTACAATTACAGAACAGCTGAATTCCCCTACTTCAAATTCTATGAAGTCATCGAGAGAGCAAAAAATTGTATTCTGACCTCCTAGTTAAGAGATCAGAGATCATTTGGTACTATCCCACTCCAAAATTAGTTTTGGCCCTCTAAAGCCATCTTTTAAAATGAAGTTTGTGGGTTTCATTTTTTGCAAGGCATGGAGGCAGGAAGTTACTGTCTGCACGAGAATATGGCAGAAGGGACAATAGTGCACATGACTGCTGTAAGTCATCACTGAAGCTCAAGGCTTTTCTAAGCCTGAAGACTTGTACTACAGCAAAACAAAGGTCATAATATTCCAAAGTAGCAGTTTACACCAGTGTAAATCATTCAGAAAGCAATGAAACAAGAGTGACTTATTCATTACCTGACTTTATTTATTGCAGTGTAAAAGAGCCACCAGTAAAATTCTGGAAAGAACTCTCCACAGATAAGAAAAAGGCCAGCACTGAACTGGTGACAATGATCACTCCACCTCCCCTTTGAAACTTCTCTTGAGGAGATGCATACTTCAGCTGTGCTTTGTGACCACTTCACAAAAAGCAGCAGAACATTACAGAATTTCCCTCCCTTTTGCGGGACAGCAAACGTGTTTGTGAGCATGCAGGAAATGCATAGTTTAAAAAAGGCTATGGATTTTTTCTTGACAGAAGTCTACTTTTGTTGCCTTTGCAAATTATTATTTATTGTTAGCTTTCCACACTAGCATCTTTTCTGAGGGAAAACAAAAAGCACCTAGAAATCTCACTGGAGAACAATGAGACATGATACTTTTGTAAGGGTGAAGGACAATCCTTCTATGCAGCCACCAAAAATGCAAACAGGGAAACACTACTGAAACTTTGCTCCTCTTCTTTTTGGTTCCAATTCCAGAATCAGCAAATCTTTATAAAAACAAGCAGCTTCAGTAATGATATTTCCATAAATTGATAATAAAAAGATTCCTCTAAATGTCAGTGAGGGGTTACGGAGCTGGATCCCTCAGGAAAATAGGAAGTCAAGGAGGAGGAAAGAGAAATTATAAATAAATAAATATATAATGAATCTGTAGGAAAACAGGATATGTTGAAACAAAAGTCTTGGCCCAAACCACACAATTTTAAGGTATCTATTTTTCCTTCCTGTTAGTCATGCTTTGCAAGAGTTTTATGATCATGAAATGATACTGTTGTAAAAGATGAATGCATATAAACTTTTCAGTTCAGTTGATTATTAATAGAAAATAATTTAAAAAAATCATTTTCATCTTATTTCCTTTAGCACAAAAGGAATCAAAAAGCACAATACTCACAATGAAGAATATGATGGAGTCACATAAAATAGAGACCAAAATTCAAAAATATCGATAAATCAAAATGGTATTTACATGTAAATGTTTTATCTTACATGTTAACTATTTTTTTAAGCCCCAGTAGAGTCAGTCAGGCCCATACAGGCCTACACAATCATTTCAAGTTACTATCTCAATGGATAAGCAAGAAGCAAATCACAGATACTAACAAGTTTGAGAAATAAGACTGCAAACTGGTGAAAAATAGCACAAACAGAAATGTAGACACTTTTTGTCACTCCACAGACATATATATGCATCTGGATCTAACTAAACAGTAGAAAAAATAATAACATTTAACACACTTCAAAGAAGAATTTCAAAACATTATAAATACCAAAGGATTGTGTGTCAACACTACTACAGGTAGTGAACAAACCTTAGTTGCTTTCTTGACTGCCCTCCCTCACACAATGCAATGAGGAAAACTGTACTTCCTTGCCTAAATTCAACCCTTCCATTTTTATAAGCAGTCTGAACAAGAACCAAAGTGAATCAGAAGTTAAGTGAGAATTCAAATCATGCATTAAAAACAAGTGCTGACAAAATAATTGAATGCATTCATATCCTCTTCTCCACATGCTTTACTTCCGCTTACAAGGAAAACCAGCAAGAAGCACAGAATAAGTCGACACAGCATTATGAACCACACTGAAGTAGAACAGAGAAACTGTAATTCAAGAAGCAAGTCCTCAAGATACCCTGCTCACAGAACTCAGTTTGATATGATCAGAGTCAAGAGAAAAGTCACCTGAATTTGTGGTTCCAGTCCAGCTTCCAAGTCACAGTGCAGAAGGTTTTAAGATCTGCAAGCTTCTGTTCCTTAGGTCATCTCCTCCACAAATGGCACTAGGTTTATAAATGAAAAAAAATTCAGGCATATTGGAGAAATAACTGTCTAAGCAACAGTGCTGTTTTACTCACATAATTGTTAATTGCTGTACCTCCTGCACACAGTACAAGAATGAAATGGATGTTCAGATTTTCAATTATACCAGAAACATCTATTCTCTCATCTACTTATTATCACTTCCTCTGTGGAAACAAGCATAATTCAGCAACAGTTACAGTTCCTTCATCCTTATGGGCTTGTGGGCCTCAAGTAGCTGTACAAACAGGCGACTCCTTGCACCAATACACAACCACATGTTCCTCAGGCATGGCAATATTTCAGGCCTAGCTATAATGTACTCCTTAGTTTAAGGCTCCTTTTCAATCTGTCTGTCTACAAGATGAGCTAAAGATGCCCCATACAGAACCAAAGATTACCAGGGACTTGAGACAGTATTCACATCTAATTTAGGGATTCTGTTTGGTACAAAAATATTTTGCACCTCTGGTGTCTCTACTCTTATAGCATTAATACTGATGCTGTCCTAAATGGACACAGAGTCACAGGAAAGAAAATACAGCACAGCATTCCAATTACACTCTGATTTCTCCTTTAGACTCCTGCTTTAAGAATATGAAGTTCGTTGAAAAAAAAAAGACAATTCTGTGGAAAAAGATGGCCAACCACCTAAATTACTAGTGCTTGAAAAATGAAAGATTTTTAAAGCTAGAAGATAAAAGCAACATCCAGAGCCAACAGGAAGGTCTTGCTGGCCTCTGTTTGGTCTTCGTTGTTTTTCACTGGAGAAATAAAGCTCCTTTTTCTTTCCCCCCCCCCCCCTCTAAAAAGTGGAATCATTTGGAATACCCTCCCAGTGAATAATTACCATTCATAAATAGAAACTTAATGTTGATTTTATACATTATCAGTTGCAAGGAGATTTGATTCTCGTAAATCAAATAGAGTGCCTATTTTTTTTTTTCCTACAAAGTTAAAAAATTGAACATTTACCCAAATGAAGTACCTTAAGAGTTGTGTATGCTCATTTTAAATATGCACTATACTAGCAATAAAACTGATGATAGAAGACAATATAATGGCTACCTCTTGAGCCAATCTTTCCATCGCTTGCTCCATCAGCAAATTACTTATTCTGCTTGGCAGAAATTTTCCAAAATTATCTCATATATATGTAACATAGGCAAAAACCAGCTACAGCTAGCTAAGTTTCCAATAATCCAGAGAAAAAAATATTCTTTGTATATAAGCAATTAGATTTTCTTTGCACTAGAAGCCATTACTAAAGACAAAAGACGTAGCACTTGTAGGATGGTTTGATTTTCTAGCATTAATTACTGGAGTTTTTGCCCCTTAAAAATATTAGGGTTGCAGCATCCTTAATTAATTCTCACCTTCATGCCGTTTGAGATGCAATCTGAAAATAAAATAAAGTATGAAAGCCACTGCTAAATCTTTTAAAACCTATGTTAATGCTCTTTCTGTTTACATAAGTATAGTAGATTACAGTTAATTATGTGGTCACAAAAGTGACCAATACCTACCCATCTCTGAAGGGCTACTTACTATCTCAGCTGTGCAAGCACCTCCATGACTGCATGCCAGACATCCTTAATTGCACCCTGGATTCAGCTAGCAGAGTAGTCGTAGTAGGCATGGGGTCATTAAACAAACATTTATTTATGTCTTAAGCAGTTTCTGCAGGCTGCAGTACCTTCCACAGATATACAGCTGGCAAAGCCCGAACAACGTCAGTATATTTGTATAAGCTCTATTAGGGCTGCTGTGCAGATATACCCCTTGCAAAACAACAGTAATTTATGGAACAACCTTCTAAGGAAGGTAAATATCATCTCCTTGAATAATTCATACGCACAATCTTAAAAGGAAGCATTTCCATAATGAAAGCAAACAAACTGGAAAAGAAAAGACTGCTATTTAAAATAAAAGCTAAGCAGTCAGAGACATTCTACTTGTGAAACAAGTAACAGTTTCCTTTCCCCTGAGGAGCAGAAGTGATATGAGTAACTTCTGCCTACTGCATTAATCGACACAGAGAATATTTATTCAGAAGGACCAAGTAGGTGCTAAAGAAATGCTAGGCAATCACAAATTAAAGTGGCTGTACTCTGGAAAGAAAAGAACAACCCATTTGCATGGTTAGCTGAAATGCAACACTTTGCCAATAGTACGATAAGATTTAGCAGAAAGTCAGTTGGCACAAGATTCAAGGACTTAATTACTCATTCATTTAAATAAATATAAGAAACTCTTCAGGGCCACCTATCTATTCAGTCCTTTCCTTTCCAGTTCAAAGCAGTCACATGAGAAGACATGAGAGGTCATACATCACATCTCTCTTGTGCAAGATTTCCATTTTTCTGAACTAAAACTTCCACCCTTTGGGGAATTTGTTAGTGTTGGTCTGAATCACTCTGGGACTTCAACATCTTAGTCACCTGCAAACAGCAAAACATTTTGTATTATTCCTGCAAGCTTTTCTCCTCACTACATTCAAGACAACAGGATGAACAGGTAGAAATGTCTGCAAAGAGTCTGTAAATACTCAAACAGGATTGGCAGGGATAGCTGTGTACCTAGTTCAGAGATGGCAGCTCCCAGGACAATTATGTAAACTTTTTTTTTTTTTTTTTTTTTTTTAACAAGATGCCTTTCTAAGGAGAGGAAAAAAGAAAAGCATTGTCTGGTTTGCAGTCCTCAGTCTTCCACGTGTGCTATTTTTGCCCTCTGGTTTAAGGACAATGCATTGCTACAACCTGGGAGTAGAGACTGTACCACCACATTTAGATCACTGCTTACACTAGGAAAAGAGTAAAAGAAATAGTTCAGAAACTCCAAGAAGGATTACATGTTTGCATACAGGTAACTATGGAAAGTGCTTGCAGGCAACAAATACATTACATAAATGAAAATTAATTTTAAAAATAGAGACAAAAACATTGAGGAGCTAAATTCATTGCATAGTTTATTTGCAACAGACTAGGTAACCAGCTCTAACTGCAATTACATCTGAAAAATCAGAAAGAAACCAATTAAATTAGGAGTTCCCAATCCCGTGACAGCAATAGTGCAGAAAGCTTTAAAATCTGAGATCAGTTCCAAGAAATATGCCTATGATTTAAGTAAATAAACTATTTTCTCAATATAAAAGTTGGAAAGGCTCATGTTTTTCAAAACATAAGCCATAAACATTAGAAAGTGTAAGAAATATGGTGTAAAAGAACAAGTCCAGAAGATATTTTTGATCTGCTGCATAGAAAACTTAGCTGAACCAGGAGAGAAAGGAAGCAGATGCAGCTACTTATTCCTACTGAGGGTTCTTTGCTTTTCAGCATGCTCCACAATTTTTTCTTCTACATAAAGTCCCTTTCGCTTTCTCACTGCATTCATGTACTTGCGGGCCTGGTTCTCAGAATCTGCCTTTTCCCCAAAGTGCAAATATTCTTCTTCAGTGGTTGGTACCCAGAATGGATCACTTGAAATGATCTATAAAAAGAGAGGGGGAAAAAATAATAAAGAGGCATAAAGGTTTCCTAGTATTCTTAGTACATTTCAGGTAATTTTCATCTCTAAAGTATACAGCATGAAGATAAGAGCAGATAGTTTTCTGGACAGTTTATTAGCTACTTAAGCAGAATACATGAACTAGAAACGCCATGTAGCATTCCATCACAGAAAGCGTGGGATAGATTTTGAAATTCAATTGTATTTAGCTATGTACAAATTTATTTTAAAACAAATTTAATGGCCAGTCGGTAACAACAACAAATAGCATTTATAAGATTCTTAGTTTTGAAGGAGGAATTCCTTCTTTAGAATATTATGTCACCACGATCTTATCAGAATTTATAAGAACTGAACGTTTCTGACTGTAGATTTCCTCCCTAGATGCAGCTACAGGTAATATTTTACCAAAAGAAGAATAGAAATGCTGCATCCATTTCTTTACCAAAATCCTCATGGGAGAAGGGATGCAGTACATGTTAGTTACTGTGAGAACAGTGATAGTTATGGCAGTAATTGAGAACATCACTCCATGATCACTTCTGAAGTCTAATGTTAGCACTGACAAGGACAGAATAAACTTACCTAAATTCTGGCTTAGTGTAACAAACTATTTATTCTGACAAATACTTTTAACTGCCATATGCTATTTCAAGCCATACAAAATTACTTAATGCTCATATAAGCGACATAAACCAGAAAGAATAAAAAAAAAAAAAAAAAAAAAAAAGGGTTAGGGCAAAGATTTTTCCTAGAAATAACAAATACCAAATTTAATACCTCAAATGCTAAATAACACTTAGCACTGTGAATGGAATTACATATACAGTATATAGAAAGTTAGGACAATAACTGCAGTACATAGACTGCCCCAAAAGTAATGCCTCCTATTTATTTCCACAGAGACCTCATCAGATGCAAAGAACACAATAACATATTGTGTTGTTAAACAGAGCACATTCTCAGCTACAGAACAGCAGACCTCAATGCAGTCTCTGCTGCCATCAGTTACATGGCAACGTGTAATGGAATATTGGTGGGAGGGCTCAATCTCTGCTGCCATACCACCAACATCCAACACTGACCTCATGAGCCAGTATCATAAAATGGGAAGCATTACTTTTGGAGCAGTCCTCATAGAAGACGCCTACTTTTTATTAGGAAACATTGCAGGTTAAATCCTGCAAAACAGAATGTTAAGCCTCTAAGTTAAAAAATAAATAAATACATATTAATTTGCTACAGTTGAGTACATACATAGTCCTCGTAAATTAAATGGGATATCATTCATATGTTAGATCTGCAGCCTTACTTATTTAGGTGGGATACATACATAAAGTTGTCTGGCTGAAAACGAAGGCAAACAGAACTCATAAATAAATGGTACAAAATTTTGGTTTCCAAATGATTCTGCATTTATTTTTAACATACAAACAAGGGTTGTCTAAGCACAGAAGAATCCACATGAGCTATACCCATTCTGATGTCTTATACAGGGACTTTCTACCAGCGCCTTGAAACTTTAAGGCAGTTCCTTGACAGCATATGCCAGTAAACAGAAAGTAAGGGGGCACCATTATGCACTTGAAATAAAGAAAAGGACAGTGAAAATTGCTGGGTTTTTTTGTTTGGTTGGTTTTCCTCCCAGCTTCTGGGCAAACACGCACACTGACTGGATCAGGTTGTTGTGATGTTCATACTAATCATCATCATGCTGGAAAAACACCAGAGACTTCCCCTAGTCAGGACCTATCTAAAGAGCCGAACAAATGAAAATGTCCAAGTTCAAGAAGAAACACAGGAATGAGAAGTGACTCATACTCAACAGACATGCTCCAGAACTACTGCCAAGGGAGAGCACGCAGCTACAAACCATACCAACTTAAAAGGCTGTTACTATTCCCTTTGATTAAGTTCTTTCATATCAGCAAGTTATCTAACTCCCAAATTGCATTCTGAGAGAAACAGTGAACAGTGGTTCCTGACGAAAAGTGAAAATATACTCAAGACTGAACTTACAGGTCTGACGTACCACTGCACTGTGCAGAGCAAAACTGGAAAGACTAAAATTAGGTTTTGAAAGCCACATCAGTACTTGCAGGAACTGGTTTTGCATCTCATCACGTTTAAACAGCTCTGGTATTACATTCTGCTTCTGGAGCAAGTTATGGAGGCACTTGAGAATTCCTCTTTCTGAGGATCATACCCAAGCGAATGGTGTGGACATACGGCAGAAGATGTGGGTAATTCGACACAGTGTTTGTAGTAAATAGCGGGACAAATAAAGAGAAAGAGGAAGCCAGACCTACTGAGTCAGCTGGAAATGGAGGCATCAGTTGTGCTCTTCCTTTAAGAAGTCAGCAAATAGCCATGTTAATATAACTCTAGTGTAACTACACAGAGGTGTTATTGACACAGCAATGAAAAAAAGAAGGAGATTTTCTGATTCTTAAGTTCTGACTCAGTAAGTAAAGCTGAGGACAAGAGTAGACTACTCCTCTTCACATCGCATTAATGGATCAAAGCAGATGCACCTAGCAGTTGGTATCCACCATTCCCCACATTCTATACATATGCTGCAAGAAGGCAAAAAACAAACAAACAAAAAAAAAACCCAACAATAAATATGTTTCCCTCTGATGCTCCGTGATTGTTGAATTCAATTTGCTTACAACGGCAGCTGGCAGAACCATGGGTCTGGGCTTCCTGGAATCAGAACTGAGAAGTTTTTTAACCCCTGAACTATTGTTTGTGTTCATGGGAACCACATAGGGAAGACTCTGGAATCTATGAAAGAAATCATGGTTCTGTCTGGGTAGAGTCCTAAATAATTAATAAGATTCTAAATGTTCTTCTGGAATAAGATGCAGCCTTTAACAGAGAGCATTTACTGTGTGCTGGAAGCTCTGGAAGCTCCACGGGATTAAAACAGAAAATAAAGAATAAAAATAATGAAACAACAGAATCGTTAAATACAGGCTGATGAATATGTTCCATAGCTCACTGCAGAACTACAAACCAATTCTAGGTATAAAAGAAGCAGTGTTTAAAATGAAATGTGTTTAAAATGAAATCAGTAAGGATTAGATACTTCAAAAGAAGATTAGATTCCTTCAAATACTTTAAGTGTAGAGGTATTCCTGAGAAAAAAATAAGTAACTCCAAAGCAAGATGTTTCATTAAACATCACAACTATTCAAACTAACACACCCAAACAGTGATGTCTCCCAAGACTTGTTTAGTAACAGCATGCAGAGTAACATGGGCAAAACAGCTGTCATTTTCTTTTAGCCTAACAACTTACACACTAAATATTCAAGCAATGCATGCTCCTATCTTTTTCAGACATAATCTGAATGCCTGTAATAATTAACCAATAAAAATGCAAATAATATGAGTACAATTTCAATATTGAAAGACAATACAGTATGTACTAAATTCTGCAAATGATTATGTAAGTTCATCAAACTTTTCAAGACTTGAGTTAGAACAAATTACTTTCAATTCCAGAGAACTTGGAATTTTAAGCCTTAATACGAGGATGATTTATTATTTGCATTTCATTGGCACCCAGATGGCTCCAATAGTGGTCTGGGTCCCATTGTCTGGTGTATTTCACAAAACGATGGCATGAAACAGCCTCTGCCTCAGGCAGTCTAATTATGCAAAACAAGGTTGAGGGATGCATCAAAAGCAAACAGACTGGATCTGCCTAGTTCATCCAAAAGGTCAGGCAGATCTGGGAATGCAGCCATGTTGCTGGTAGCATTTCCCCTCCTGGTCCTTACTGTCTGATGGAGACAAAAACTTTCTTTTGAGCCAAGTAACAATGTGGAAAATGCTTTAGTTGGACCACAAATATAAAGAGCAACCTTACTCTGTCCAGTGAAGACTACAAGACTAGTAATATGTGAACCAATGTGAACCATTTCAGAAGGCTCAAGAGCAACAAAATCCAGTGTGCTCAAGCACTACCAAGGATAGCTTTTGCATGCCAGGAACAACATTATGCTAGAAGTGGTTTCTCAAAAACAACTTCAGAAGAACTATTACACACCATGTCAAAGGGCATTCACACCTCAGGGCATCAGAATCTTTTCTACCTTTGAAAAATCAATCTAGAAAGACACTACAAGAACAATGACAGTCCAAATGGTGGCCAGCACTCAGTAATGGCAAAGACTACGTAACTAATATGCATATTGCTGACATGCCTTTTAGATACCTGAAGCAGCCCTGTCAATTAGAGATTACCCCAACTTTTCAGGTAAAATGGCAGAAGTTTGCTGAGGTTTATGTGCAAAGTGACTTTGAAAAGCTGTCATCTCCAAACTGAGTTTTTAATAATAAGCTGAGTCATGCTGTAAAAATCCTTCTGCTTTGAGCATAACAAAATGGTGAGAGAGAAGCTTGGATGCTGGCAGTGTTTCCAGCACAGAGAGCACCAGGAAGCATACACAGTAAGATTAGGTAGATTGAGCTGCACCCATTTAATTCCAGTGGGAAGGAGGTGTCATTGCTGTTCCCACTTAAGAGTACTGAGCAACTGTGCAAAGTGCTGAGCACCTGAAACACTCATAAAACATTATGCTGGGGATGAGGATGAGACGGTAGAGGGTGGGAGGAAAACTACATACAATATACTTAAGAATTTTACAGAAGTACCTACACATAAATGTTCTTAGAAAAGAAAAAGTAGTCAGTTACAAAACACAAATTTTCACACTGTACCGAATACTTTGTGTACCAGCTTGTCCATTTTATAAATAGCTAATCTCTGTACCATATCCTGAAACAACAACAAACAAAAAAAAAAGAATCCAACTCATCTTCAGCCTCCCTCTTTGCCAGTTCTTTGACAACTCTGTAGTCAAACCTGGGGTTCTCAGAAGGATGTGGCCACTTTGCATCACTATACATCAATTTGTAGCAAACAAATAAATACATCTTAAGATGATTACATATATTTCTATAATATTGATAGCTAACTTCATAACTTGACAAAAATTGCACTGTTTTATTTCTCTCTCTATCCTTGTATTTTCTTGCAAAAGCTCACGATTGTAAATTACGTGGTTTTGAGAAAATACAACGAGAAAGACCAAGAGCATACAAGCATAAATCCAATTCACAAGTTCATGTATTTCATTTCTATATCCACCTGACAAAAACCCGAAAAAATGAGAAAACAATCAGAAGAGTTTTGTTTCAGAGAGGATTTTAGAGAATATGGAATAACTTCTTGCATTCAAGCTTGAAACATTTAACCTGTAGGTTAATGACAAGAGTGAAGAATCCCTACAAAGTAACCCCTGTACCCAAAGCTGTTCAGAAGGATCCAGAGATTCCAATTACAATATTTAAAAGGGATGGCCCAGGCATTAAAACACATGAAGTCAGATATGACATTGCTTCTTTCAATAAACACTGTAATAATGGACATTTGCACATTTAGTTAGAAAATATACTCATATAAGTTTACTTTGGCTCAAGAACTTCATCCTTGTTTGTGCTCCAACCAGTGACAGCCAAGCTTTAGCTGTGACTTCAGCCGGTAGCTACAAACAAGGATTAGGGAATTGGAAAGAAAATAAGAAAATCTCTGGCTTTACTATTGCATTTTTTCCTGTTACTTAAGTAACACATAGGAAAATCAAAGCCACACAGCTTTTACTTACTACCTTAATTAGCTTCAGATGTTCTGGTTAATATAAAGACCTTTTCATATTTGAAAGGTTCCAGGTTACTCCTAGAATTTCTTAGCAAGCCTAAGCTGACACTTAAACAATGATGTAAAGTCACAATTTATACCTAATAAAGGTTCATGGACTCTTATGAGTCTCTCATTACGTTACTCTGTGTCCTGTTTAATGCTGGCCAAACAGCCCCATCCAGCACTTTCACATTAAACCCTCATCTTCTATTTGAGTTGTAAAATGACAGTTAGGAATGAATAAAAAAATCAGAATATAAAACTTCCAGTGATTCAGGACACACCAGATTCTTATCATATATAACATGCAGCCCTTCTTCTTTTACCTCTCTGCAGTCTTACAGCACAGCCTAGGCACTATTCTGCTCAGAAGGGATAGTCAAACAGAATTCAGATCAAATGTATTTACAGATCGTCCTCCTCCCCCAAGAATAAGACAATCAATGCAATCTGAAAGATGTGCATTAACAGGAAAACCATACAATTCACAGCTTTGCAAGAAGCAGTTCTTTGAATATTTCTGCATTTGCAGACAATTGTCATTTGAATTGAGCATGCATTATTTTCACTATAATACATTTCCCAAATGGGATTAGAGCTCCATTATTCTAAGTGCTGCTCCATCATAAATATCTTCTTGCTCACAGAACTTCATGAAAAGACAAAATGGCATGACTCAGTGCAACAAGTTACTGCTCTACTGGAGTTACAGTCTAACTGAATGTATATTATTAATTCAAGGATTAAAAAATAGAGGGCATTAATTACTTCAAAGCTATATACTTTTAACTAGGAATTCAAAAGAAAGTTTAAATCACAAGCAAAGAAAATACAGCCAAGTCAACCCAATCCACTTAACACAGGGGTAGCATAAGGAAAATCATACTTGACTATCTTTTAACATGTATTTATTTAATCTGGGACCAAACTGAAAGCTCCCACTGCTGGTTCCATTTTTTATAGGCAGAAATAAATTTAAGTATGATAGAAGAAGTGAATAAAACAAAGGTGCATCTGACAAGACAGACCTTGAAACACGTACTGCTCCATTCCCTGGGGCTGGAGCGATAGGAACTACACAAGACAAATTAACTGGAAATCTCATTTCCAGAGACGCACTTAAACATCTGTGCCATCACTGATCTCCCTTATTTTATAGTCTACAAGTCATATTAATGAAATAATATTAAAAAAAAAAAAAAATCAATCCTGATTTCTTTAAATATACTTCATACATATAATTCCTATGAGATTAAGTCTTTGAAATTTAAAAATACCAAAAAGTACTTCAAATGTAAAATGGGGAAAACAAGGTATTAGAAGCAATCTGTGCAGAAAAACCCACCTCGTGGGCATCCAGGTAATGAGCAAAGCAGACTGAGGAAACACCACTTGGAATCAATGCAGAGTGGCACAGAAGGGGTCACACAGAATGCAGTTAAAGCAACAGACACACACTCAGTAACAAAGCAAATGTGAAAGAAAACCCAGTAGCTACCACACTGCTATCCACCTTTAACACAAAGGAAAACACAGCATGAGATCTCCCAGAATTCTCGCTGTATCTTACAGTATGATACATGAAATAATTGGCATGCAAAAAAAATGAATGGTATTTATTAAGCATTCACCATGGATACCATGAATATACCGTGACAACTCACCAGTAACTTTAGACCATCAAAGTCACATCTAATACTTGATGAAAACTGTTCTCTTGTTTTGTTTTTAGCAGAAGAACCAGAGAAAAGCTTCACAAATTTCTCATGTGATCTGAGACACAAACTATTTCTTCTGGCTTCCCTGTCATACCACCACTAGAGATTCTGAAAATGATATTTATTTAGCAATTTTGCTGATGAAGTGAGAATAGAATGTGTTCCCTCTGCCATGGCTGCACAGAGCCAACATTACTTGTTGTTTAGTAAAGGGTTCATTTTGTCAGGAAAAAAAAAAAAAAAGAGCAGCAACAAAATACAGTCCTCCCCACCAGGTGGAAAAGTGACCGGCTTACACAGTCACTTCTTCTACTACCACCACATTTTAACAAACCAGCTGTAATTACAGCCTCTCTTGAGGATCAATTTAAGAAAATGTCACCAGATGCTGAACTCTCCTATTCATGCCTGTAACTGCGTGGACACTTTCTTTTATGTGAAATCCCTAACATCTGAGAGTGTGAAAATATACGGTACAGTTTAGGGGTAGAAGGGAAGGTCATAGAGGCAAGGGATTTCGTTTTTTGCTTAGCATTGCAGAACAGTAGCCACAAATCCTAAGGAAACTGGCACAGACCAATGGTTAGCTGGAACTATCGTCCTTCTGACTGATATCCCTCTGGGGCATTGATACAAGAGACACTTCAGACAAAAGACCAGTTAAGCCACAAAACCTCACCAGCTGCACTTCAGATGAGGACATCCAAAACTGAAAAAAAATCTACTGTACACAATTCTGCCAATAGTTATGGGTTTGAAGTATCTAATCTGTACTGGCTCACATCCCTATATACTCCAAGTTGTTGTTATCTTTTTTTTTGAACACACTCTATTTCTATGGGTTGCAATTTATCCATTGCACTTGTAGCACCATTAAGGTGGTGCTGTCAAAGGAGATGACAAGTACTGCTTCAAGGATTCACAACTCTTTTGATAGCACGTGATGGGTTTTTGGAGATGCTCTTTTTCCAATTAGGACTCACACAAAATTCCTGAGGCAGTTGCAGGAATTGCAAAGAAATACTGCTACTGAAGAATTTAACAAATACTCCTATTATGACAATTTAGCTACAAGAAAATGAGGAAGAATATATGCAGTGTGAAAAAACCAGCACACACTTTGCAGAGAAACAGAGGTGAATGGACCATACCTGGCAACTGCATGGAGCACTCCTGGCCTCAAAAATCTGTAGTTGTTTGCACTCACAGATTTGACATTTGTCACAAAATTGAAGATAAAACAATAAGACTTTCTAATCCATTTATCAAAAGCTTCTACAGTCCTAACATCAAATAAAGGAACATCTGACCTTGAAAGAATTAAAAATCTAGACTTCAATTATTTTAAAAAGTTCATGTTATTGGTTTAGACTCTTTCCCCTGAACCTATTTTTAGTTCCTTCAATTAAGTCTTCCAAGGCCTCCTACAATGCAGCTTTGTTTTTCTTTAACAAGGAACTCTAATTTAAAGCTTTCCATTTTACTCCTTGAAGATCCGCACTGTAGGAACAAAATGAAGTGCACTCTCAATTGATACCAGTTCTTATTAGCTTTCCAATCTCAGTATTTCCTTTACACCTCTACTTAAACCTGTTCATTTCCTTAAGTGATAAAGATGAACAAAGGAAATGATGTTGAGGACACTTCCATTTACTGTGACCAGACCTGATTTTGAAAGAATTCAATCAATTCCCTTTACCTTTTAACATGGAAACATATGTTGAGTTGGAATACATGAGGACAAAAAAAAAACCCTGAAGTATCTGTCAGTCACTAAGAGGATAACCATGAGCTAAATCAGATTTCTTATTAGCAGTAGTATAACCCCCACCCAAATAAGTTTATCAGATAACTTATTTTAAAAGGGATGTAAAATTTACAGAAACCAATTTATGAAGAATGAGTTTCATTTCTGAAGCACTTAGTTGATATTGAAATAAAAAGCATCCCATCTCAAGGAAGTATAACTCCATTTCTGAACAGCATCATCGTTAAATTAAGTAAGACCAATGTAAAGCTACATTTTTTTCCTCTTCGTCTCAAAAATGAATTAATCAAACATCTTGACCAAAACTTAACCTTTTCCACTTATTATTCCAGTTTGCCACATCTACAGGAAATAGATCACCAAACCAGATGGAGTGAATAGATATTTTTACCTCCCAGTGGCTGAACACCAGCTGCGGACTGGCCAGGCCACTAGTTCTCTTCCTGATTTCATCAGCAAAACCAAAGCTTTCTGCTACTGGCAGTACTGCCTTAATAATAAACACATCCGTTCCCTCTTTCATCTCCTCTTGTAACACTCTGCCTTCTCTTTTGGACAAGACGGCATACACACGACCTGCAAAGACATTACTTTGATGAGCTTACCAATACATTCATATTCTGATCCGTTAAGAGAAATACATAAATATTTACTCAGGAAACTTGAGCGTTATATAAAGTACATCATTTCACCGGCTCTCATTCTTCCTCGTAAAATTTTAAACGAATCCATTAAATTCAGACAAACAACATACTGTGCCAATACCATGTGCAAAATCATACAAATAACAGTTAATAAATGATGCCTACTGTATAAATCTAGATAACACACATACTTTGTATATTTTAAAACATAGGCATGTGATAGCATCAAAGGCACTCTGCCAGATTATGTGCCAAACTTGCTTTATTTCAGCTAATCAAATATTAGAGAAACATTGCAAGCTAAGAGATGCTACTAAGTGATAACACTACTCAGAAATCACATCCCAGCTACCTTCAAAAGTTTATTTGGTTCAATGTTTCCCTATAAGCTACCTGTGTCCCAAGTGCTGCAATGCTACTCTAAGGCACAGAAAACTTGTTTATTAGGTATTTAGTACATTTAATGTGTCCCAACTAGCTTTTAATTAACAAATCCTTAGGTTTGTCAGCAGCAATTTTTACTTTCCTTTCCCAAATATCAAGTCCTTTGAAATGCACTGCATGATATGAAGATATGAAGAAAGCACTTCTGAAAAACATTCAACTTAACAGAAGGCATCACATTAATCTGCAGTTAAAATGTTTTTGCAGGTTTTCTACAGACAAAAACTCACAACTACATTTCTACTGATGAAAATAAAGAGCACAGAAAAATATATACACTGAAAAAAATGTTTTAGAAATGCCTTAATTTACAAGTGTGAATAATTACTATTAGATGTACAAATTAACTTTAGAAATACCTTACAGCAAAGAACAAATTCATATCAATTTCTAAGATGTTCAAATATTTTATATTTAACTGAAAAAAAAATCCCAAAACCATGGACATGTACAGGCAGCTTTTAAACAGTGATCCTTCCTGGAAATAATTAGGAATATCCATTACTTCCTAATTATTCCCACCTATTCTGACTTGGTGGAAAGATACCATTAAATATTATAGTCACATGCATTGATTTGCAGATCTATTTTAAGACTTTTACAGGATATCAGAGGAAATGTTGGCATAGGTTTATTTGCTTTTATTTTTTTAATTATAGAATCTGGTCCTTGGTAAGGAAATTTAGCACAAGCACACAGGCAGTGCAGTTAAATCTTCCTGTCAGGTGTGGATGATGAAGCACCAGTTCAATACCAACTGCTGCAGAGTTTCTAGTTCTCTAATAAAACGTGGGCTGAAGTGTTCTTCCTATCATCACTGATGATTTTATCTGCTCGTGCCCTTACCAGGACCTCCTCACTGCTCCTCTGGCTGAACGTCACCTTTACTACACACAATAGTCTTCTTATTGCTTCAGAGGAAATTGAGGAAATACTTAAGATTCTATATTTTAAATGACAGGAAGATTAAAGCATGTTGCAGAGAAGTCACTGGAGTCTGCCATGCAAGGAGAGCCTTTGTTTGCATAACTAAATGACTTCAAGTCTAAGAAAATTCCAGTGACTACAGAAAATTCGGAGCTATGAAAGGGTCACACATCAGCACAGCTCACAGATCAGTAAGTGACTCTGGTTAAGCACATACTGCTTTAAGATTCAGGTTAAACGCATACATTGCAAAAAAGCATCACATTGAGGTCACTTTTATATGTTGTGGATGAACCACACAACGTACATTAAAGCCATCTGTTCAAGCAAGTCAGTCCAAAACCACTTTATAGGTTACTAATGTTAAAAGTCAAAATATTTATTTTTCTAATTGTAATAAGTAGGACCTAGAAAAATTTGCATGCATATTAATAAGAGAACAATTATCACAAAGCACTTTAGATGAACATATTTCCTAGACAGTTCATTGAAGACCAGTCTTCCAAAACACAGAAACCAGAAGACAATTTATTTAGCTTACTTTGGGTTTCCAGCAACATGCATTTCATTCATGCAGCCTGCAGTACTGTCTCAGTTTAGGCTATCACAAAGAAGCTAAGTGAGGCCTTCAGTTTTACCACTATGGGCAGGTGTCAGTAAACTGGAGAGAAACAGGTCCTAATTCTGCACTAAGAAGCTGAAAGAAAGAATGGCTGCAGCAGCATCAATCCCTAAAAAATGCCATGACTTGCTGTTCAAAAATTGTTGAAGCAATTACTTTGAAACAATAATGTTACTCAAAAAAAAACCTTCAAGATACTGCAATATACAGAATAAATATGTGCATAACAGATTCACTTTAACGATGTCTATGTTCAGCTCCTTAAAATATTTAAGTCTTGTTCACCACTTCGCTATACTGCAGCGCTCTTCAGGAGGTCAAAGGAAAATGCCAAACAATTTCTGTTTACCCTGGATGCTAAAATAACTTCTTTTAAAAAAACAAACAAGTTTCACACGGGATAGAAATAGTGTGCAGGTAGAACAAGATCAACATTTTCAGGTCTATGGGTGACCATAAGCTTAGCAAGCAGTGAAAGGAGCTGCTCTTCTGTTTTGGAGTTGGCGTGTTTTCACTTACAGAACGAAGCCAGAGATAATACTATGAAGCTGTGTGAATTGTTCCCTTAAGTGCTCTGATCTAGGGCTTGCTTTATTTAATAAATAAATAAATAAATAAATAACATGAGCATTGCTATCAAATCCAGAAACAAAGCCACAACAGTGTCTGATAAAATCATTTCTCAATTAATTTTCATTTGCATAAGCAAAATGAAAAGACAGTCTAGCATTAAGTATTCTGAACACAAAAGAGTTTGCTATAAAATCTTAGAAACAAGCAGGTAATACAAAGATGCATTAAGCTCAACTGGATATCAATGCATGGAACACCAACAGAAAAAAATTAAGTTATAAAAGCCAACGCTTTATCACAAATCAACTGTCAATCCTTCCTGCAGAGCAAGCATGCTCTTCACTCACCCTCAAGGACACCGTTTATTGGCTTAAGCTTATCCATAATAATGGATTTGTAATGAACCAGTGCATGTCCATGGCTATCACCATCTAACAAACATTCATTTAACTGGACTAATCTGCTTGTACATCTGAGTCCTAAAACACACTCGTTAAAAACATATCCACGTATTAGAATGCCATGTTTCCATTTCATTTTATGGCACAACTGATGAGATGATGCATGTTAATCACATCACTATAAACAATCATGCAGTAGTGGGCATTTTTTGTAAACAGCAATTTAGATTCTGTTTTTCTCATTTAAAATTGATATAGTTGCTTACAGTGTCAAGTATCACACTCGCATGCATGACAGCGGAGTTTTACAACAAATAACTACATCTTTCATTATATCAACTTCTATGGAGAACTCCAAGAACAAATGTAAGGATAAGCTTAGTGGTACTGCAAGGAGGCATTAGAGAATCATTGCAAAAATCTACCAGAGAACAAAGAAAAACCTCTGACATTTTTCCTCACCTTTTTCTACCTTCTGATTCAGTCAACTTTTACGTATCTAAAAATTCATGCATCAACTCGGAAAGCAAATTCTTGACAAAGGGTTGTGTTGTCTTACCTAGAACCTCTGCAGTAGCCATAATTTCACAGGTGTACATTGCCGCCATAAGCCTCTGTGGTTTTGCTTGCAAAGCATAACGACAAGCTTCCTTCATGGTGGCAATCAGCTGTCCAGAGAAGGGACCATAACAATCCGTAAGTAAAACTTCTCCCTTGTTTTTACTATTTTTTTCAAGTGACTTTGGAACACTTTGACTGCTCTGTTCGTGTTCATTCTCACCGCAAATGTTAACAGTGCAATTGCTTGTTGGAGAAGCATTATCTTCACTTTCTTTATGTTCTACAGCAACACATTCCCCTGAATCCTGACTTTTAGTTGGAAGTGTCTCTCCAACCTTATTCATTTCCCATTTTTCCACTGTAAAACACACACCCATGAGGGGTTCTTCACACATGGGACCTGAAAGCGTAGCCAGCTGAAATCCACTTACTATGCTGTTGTCGAAATCTCCATACTTACTTACTTCTTTCTCAGCATTTTCAAGGCACTGCCACACAGAATTTTTATAACCCTCAAATTTATGTAACAATATATTAGGCCCACATTTCCGTGGTCCAAATGACCAGATATGATCAACCGCATTTCTCCACTTCCTTCCCTGCAGATTTTGCTCTAATTTTTGTTTGAATTCCTTTATCTTGTCCATAGTCTTCTGATTTATTTCATGAGCTTTTTTATCTTCATTCAGAGACGTACTGAGTTGTTCCATAGTTCGAATCAAGTCACTGTTTTCTTCAAGAAGTCGAGTTACCTCCTCAGGAAGTGGCAGTGCTCTTACACTGAGAGTAGCTTGTTTATTTGGAGTAGATATTGTAACAAGCCCATCTGAATCGACCTGAATTCCTTCAGGAATTTTATTCTGGTCCTCTTTTGTTTGGTGTATGACAGCAACTTTCTGCTGCTTTCCTATTTCTTCATTTACCATGTCAACTTTTGGAGGTCTTGTTATCGTTTCTCGAAATGGAATAATAGGTGCTGACACACTAATCTCTATCTTTGCAAACCTGTAAAATAAAAATTTTTAATTAGCTTAAATTTTAAAATTACTTTTAAAACAAGGGGTTGGGGAAGATAGGGCAGTTCCCTTAACACAGAACAAATGTTCATGAAAAGACTGAACTGCAACACGGATTACGAGATAATGCACTTCAAACTATTCAAAATACCACGTACTTCAAAAAGGGAAGTAGCAATACAAAACAAAAGAAAGTATCGTTATGTCACTGTATAAATCACTGGTTCACTCAGATCCTGAAAACTATGTGCTGTTCTCCTTCCTCAAAAGAGCCAGAATAGAACTAGAAAAAATAAGGATTACCAATGGTATGAAAATACAAGTAGTCTTCAGATGTTTCAAGGATATGATAGAAGCCTACAAAACCATGAGGGGCATAAGGAAGGCTAAGAGGGATTAGCTGATAACCAAACCGCAGCAGGCCCTGAACTGTCCATGAACTGAAGACAATGAAGGCCCAACAGAGTATCAGTAGGAGTTTTTGCATCTGGCTGCTCTGTTTTTACTCTTTCCTCAACATCCAATTTAAGCCACTCTGTTAGACACATGGAGTTAGACAGACATTTGGTTTGAACTAGAACAGCTGTTACTACACTGAGATGTTCTGAAAAAATGCAGCCCTGGGTAAACTGAAGAGTTTTTTGTAAAGAAGTATGGAACCATGGTTCTAGAACCTTTTGGGTTATACTAGAGCTAATCTAAATAGCATTTCAAACCACAACCCTTCCTCTTCACAGTTTAGCAGTTTACTAAAGTATATCACTATCAGAACTCAAATGTAACACACAAGGAATGGTGCAAGATAGCAAGCCCCTCCTTCAAAAAGCTAGTAAATACACCTTGCCACTTTTCCTTTTGGGAGGTGGTAGTAAAGTGAGAAAAGGCATCACAAACCATATGTCAAGTGAATCAGCAGTGGGAGTCCTGCCACTCTATGCCTTCAGGTGTTTCTTGTTTCTGCTTATGACACTACAAGCACAGTGTTCATGTGCTTTGTTTGTTTGGGACATCACAAAATGATGACTCTTGATACTTTATAATTCTTTAAAAAATCAACTGAAATGTCAACTCAGAAAAAAAAATTCAAAATCATGCTTACAAAAGAAAACATTAGACAAGTAAATACATAGACTGCTGCTAGCTGCTCAGAACATCCTATCTCATCATCATTTAATTATTCCAGTATTTTTTTTTCCAAAAGTTGGAATAATGCCAAAAATAAGGATTTTACACACCCTGAGGAAAAATGCTGTGTAAATTGCAGCAGTACATCTGTTTTCAGAAAAAATACAAATATATTGCACTAAGTCACAATAAAGATAACGTCAAAAACATATTCTAAGTGATTTGGAAGTGATTCATTCTAATTTCCAGAAGTAAGCATTGTGCATTGTCTGATATTAACTGGAAGTGGTATGATCAAGAGCAAAGGAACAGGACTTTGGTCTTTAAACCTTCTATCATGTTGCTTCCTAATTTTGGGGAGTTCAGTTGCCAGACCTGGTTCCTCTCACAGTTTCTATTTTGTGCGACTTATATCATTACACTCTTCACTGAAATCCTGAAGCTACTGCCATTTATAATTTCCTTGAATGTGGGCTTTATCAAAGCAGTGAACTAGTCACTTCTGCACATCTGCACACACTACAAAAAGGTACAGTTACGATCCAACGGTAAAAGCTGTTTTACCATAACATAAATCAAAGATAGATGTATCTAACTGACAAAGAAATAGGAAACAGTTACTGAACAAAAATATTCCATCTCCCTGACCCTTCTAACCTTTCCTTCAGGTCATCCAAGCAACGCTGCAGATGAACTTCTCCTGCTGTCACTAGCACATGCTCTCCTGTCTCCTGGATCAAAACTTGGACGCATGGATCAGCTTGGTTTAAAAGCTTCATTCCTCTCACCAGCTGAGGCATGTCACCTGGCAAAAGAAGGTATTATCAACAAAGAAATACCAAGGAATGAATACTTGAAGACAAACATATTTAAGTTGAGGAAACAGTAATATTCATTTTGTTGGGAGTCTAAACACAAATGCATAGTTTATCTAAAAGTTCGCGAATAATTTTTAAGTTCTAACGTGCTTCTATAGCAATTTTTTTTTTTTCTTTCTATTCTGCATTTAAGCATTCTGAAAAGGAAAAATGGCTTTTCTTTAGGAGTTTACTGTAACTATACAGGCACCCATGAGACAACATGCAAGGGTCACCTCAAGACTATTCAACAGGAAATTGATCACTTTCAAGCTGAGCCTACAATGGCCTAATCTTGCTTGCCTTCTGATACTGCAAGCAGCAGCTGATTTTTAGGAAACTTTCACAGGTGTAGTTATCTATGAGACTTCTGTATCTAACAAATTTGGCTCAAATACATTCAGGAGTTACTGAAGGAAGAAACTGGTGATTAAAGAATGATACAGCTTCATCTCTTCAATGAGAAAAAAAAAACCTCTCTAGAATTACACAGTAATTCTAGAATTATACTCCTTAACAATTTTCAACTTAACATCACACTTACTAGAGCTAAAAACTTTAAATATTTTCTAAACTGCTTCACTAAATGAGGATATACAATATCCTCATTTATATATATATAAATTTATACGTATATATAATATACACATATATAATAATATATGATATTTTTACAATATTTACAATTATATAATAATATATATAATAGATAATATACCTATTAATCAAACATGAGACAAACATCTGCTAGACTCTCCTACTACTTTAGAAAAAGCTAAAAACTGAACAACAAAAAACCTATGTAACTTCAATGTCAGAAAATTTTGGACCTGAATTGGAAGCTAGTTATTTTGTTTCTACAAACATCACAACAAGAAATGGAAATTGGACTGAAACATAGGCAGAGATATGCTACTCTGGTTTGGGTAGAGGGTAGGAATCAATTAGAAACCCAAAGTAGAAGAAATACCGTAAACCTATGTCAAAGGCTTAATGATATAGCACAGAAGAATGGCAAGAAAAGTGAAGAACACAAAGATACACTTTACTTACCTTCACAGTAAAGGAATACTGAAATGCTAGCATCGTTCAGTATCCTACTTGTGATATAGCTAGGTGACCACAAAATGTGCAGCAAGATCTTCTGTAACTCACCCCTTAGTGAGACATGGGCAAAGCAGCTAGAAGAATTCACTAGGACAATGAAATACATCCATCTAGATTTATTTGGTTTGTATTGGACCTATCACTTAATTTAATGGATAGAACATAAACTAGCTTAATCAGTGAGAGTGGGAAGCTGAGCTGCTGTCACAATGAATCCTTTCAAACTTACTTGGATGTTTTGGTTCAACAGCTACCCGCACAATTGGTGTAGCCTCAAAGTTGAGAGGTGTAAAAGGTGGGCAAGCTGGTGATGTTGACAAAGTTGCAGACTTCAGCACAAAATCTTGCAGGCCTCCTATTCCTAAAAGAAATTGGAGTGGAAAAAAAATAACAGAAAAGAAAGTGCCATATGAAAATAGACCAAACACACAATCTTAAATTAAAAAAAAAAAAAAGCTGAAGTTATTCCAATCACAAAACCAGAATTAAAAACTCCTCATTGTTCTTATAAACTATTTGTTAAAATGTGTGCAGTAATTTTTCCTGATTCTATCATTAGAAACAAACATTTCAGTACATCTAATGATGTACAAATTCAATACACATGTAATTTAATACGAAAAAATGGAACCTTTATTTCATATTCTGTATCTGATTAAAACTTAAATTTGTATTTGGAAAATGCAGGGACGGATCTGTGCTCTCTCCTCCTCACTCTCTCCTAATGCCAGAGGAGGGATAAGGAGAGAAGCTCTTAGCCCTCCATTATCACCCTAATACTGTTCCAGGTTCTTTTTTGGCTTGGTCTTATTTATTTGAGAACAGAAACAAAGAAGTCAACTTCCACCCTATGAGATCATAAAGGAATTTAAATTCTGAAGAGCCTGTCTGCTGCAGAGTTATCATCTGCAGAATCGGACTGTTTCTACAGCTCTGAAGGCCAAGTGTCTGCCCAGTAGGGTATGCCAAAATCTGAAAAGATGCTATTTAAGAAAACTTGCCTCAAAAATAACTGGAAGCAGAACAGCATTCAACGGCTTTAAATGCAGGATAGCAGATGCTACAGTGAAAATAAATCCATATAAACTCTGTGTTGCACCTGACCTCTGACCAGCATATATTTCCTCTTTTTCACTTATTCAACATGTGGTTTAAATGAAAAACAAATGCTGGATCTTCATCACCACCAGGGACTGAGTAAAGGGATGGTCAGTTTTATTCTGATCTTCTGCAGCTGGTAAAAAGAAAATGATTTAAAAGGGAGGTGAACAGCTTCCTTTCACAATGCAGTGTGAACCAGAACAATCACGTTATCAAACCTTGCATCAGACAGACTCAGCCTTTTCTTGACAGACATTACAGCACTCTTACTACCAAGAAGAAAATCTAAAACTCTCTGCTCTTGTTTTGCATTTGAAGGCAAAAGTACAAAATTTATCCCTGTGTCTGGCAGCAGTAATACACTAAAATAAAAAAAAATCTGTTTCCATGTAAATCTGTTTGATTTACAGCCTGAGTATTTTGATTGCTTAACTGCATGTGCTAGCAGAGAGCAGCATTCAGCCCTGGTAATCCATTTATTTTAATAAAACTATTGGTAATGAATGTTTGCAAAATAAAAAAAAAAGAAAAGGCAAAAAAACAACACACCCATCAAACCAAAGATACAAACTTCTTGGACAATTCTTGCATTAGATAATTAAAAGCAAATGCTAACATTTTCTGAATAATACTACAAGAAAATGTAACATAACTAATTCCAAAGTACCACATGACAATAAAAGCATTCTACTATTATGCTGCTACATCAATCTTACCACTGATCCCATTGAAACATTCTACTTGATATTTAGCTTAGGATATTAATGTTAACTGGTTGAATGGAAGCCACTCCAAAATTATGCTTATATGTTTGCCTCCACTTCTAAGATTTTGATGTGTTCAGCCCTCCTTTGTTGTACAGTTATTTTCAAAAACAAAGGAACCGTAGAGAAGAAAAATCTGCTTATGCAAGAAAGATGACAAAAGCAACTGCTCTTATGTTTTAGGTGAGATGAGAATGATAGCAGCATGAGAATGAAAGCAGGAATACAGTACTGCAAGTATTTTTGAGTAGTTATCTCTCAAAGAGCAACCTAGTCCACTGTGCTCTGTCATACAACTAAATAAAGATGCCATCAGGTAGTCTGTTGCACATTGGTTTTATTTATTTTATTAAGATAAGGTGGAGTTAAAATATCTAGGGAAACTTTTAAATCTGAGAATTAACATGATCAGGAAACTGCTCCTTTTTATTAACTCTGCCTTGTGATAAATCATGTAAATGCTGTACAAGAGTAAATGCTGAAGTCTGACTCTTCTGAGGAGTGTGTAAACTTCAAGACACAACAGCTTGTTGTACATGAACTCCTTAGCGGAAATACCACATATTTTATTATATACTGTGCAACAGCCTTCACATCCCAGAACAGAGTCAAAGTACCTTTACAGATTTTGTAATGGATGGCAATGAGCCACACCTACTGAACGGGTTACTACTGTACATTTCTTTTTTCTTTTACTAGAAGACAAAAACAACATGGTAAAATCAGATAATATCATGACAGGACAAGGGAGGTGGTTTGAAATGGTTTTAAACTGGACAAGGGCAGATTTAGACTAGATTTTACACAGAAATTTTCTCCTGTGAGGGTAGCGAGACACTGCAACAGGCTGTGGATGCCCCCTCCCTGGAAGCATTCAAGGCCATGCTGGATGGAGCTGAGAGCAACCTGGTCTACGATTCTATGATTGAAATCAAATTTTAAGACAAGACTCCATATATTTTTTGCTTCTGTGCCTAACACTTTCAATGCTAATTTGGCACCCTTGAAAGGTAAAGCGCACTTTACCCATTGAATTCAGCTATTAGGATCCATAATAGATAAAGATTAGTTTCTCTTGATGTCAAAAGACTTAGCATTTGACGTTCTTTCCAGACACAAAAAATGAAGCAGAAAACACCATGTACAACTTTTTCAATCAGATAAGGAAACAATTTAGTTTTCAGTGTCAAAAATCAAACAAAGAAGAATGAAAGCTGTTTAAATGTTGACTTCTGCCACATTGTTACTGGCCTCAACACATCAGTTCAGTGGATCTTTATCTTCTCCCACTGATGATATCACCACTTAAGAATCCTTGGCTGCACAGGAATGGAGACATGTCAAGCTTTGACAGTGTAAGGAACTATGTAATGCCAAGAGCTCATGTTAATCTTCCCAGTAAGGCTCTGTTTCCACCGAAATACAGTTTCTTATCAACACAGTTTGTTTGAAAAGATTAGAACTTTACAACATGCAAAGCCTCCTGGTTTAAGCACTCCTGGCACTGCACTATGCATTACTGAAGAAAGGCCATGCAAGCCCATTCATCATTTATGTAAAAGGGGGTGTGATGGAAGCTTTGGACATCTACACAATGTAAAATCTTAAAATCAGTGTTTGCTTTTTTTCCCTCCTCCCCATCCCCCCAAAGGGAGTTTACAAATACAAATACTAAGACCTTTACAATTTTCTTTGGACAGTAACACAAATACCCTTTTCATCCTGCTGAGAGATCTTTGAAAAAAAATTTTTTTTTAAAGATATTTTAGAACACACAATAAGGAAATAAAATTCACAAATCCACCTTAAAAATATAATTTGCTCTTAGACATTTTCCACTTTTCCTCAAGATAAATAGGCTAAAAGCCCAACAAAGACAAACAGAAGGGTAAAATACAGTTGCCAAATACTAAAAAATTCATTAAGAAATTAATGAAAATAACTCCCTAGCAATGATCATTCTCACTCGGACCTATCTAGAGAATTTGCTGTTGCCCATTATCTAACAAAAGAAAAAAGAAGTGGATTTTTTCAAGTAGGAACTGATAGGAGTCTGGTAGGAGTAGACTCAAATATAATAGCTAGTCTTTTTATTTTCAAGATACCTCAAAATGTTTTACAGATTACTAGGATTAAATGACAGCAACTCTGGGGACTCTGGACAAGTAAGTAGCTACTATGGCTTAAGAATGCTTCATATTATACATTTATTGCATGAGATTTTAAAGCATGTTTCCATTGAGTCTCATGGGCACTGCACAGAAACATCTGAGGGCAGAACTTGACCTTTCTATATTAGAAACTGTTTCTGGAAGAGAAGGGAATGTAAATCAAGACACAGACCACATTCTAGTTGAGATTTCATCAACTTTTTCCATAATACAGACCACATGTTAGCACAGATTGCTCATGAGCTTCCTCATCTCATCTGTGCACTTATCCCTCAATCGTTCATACTTGCTTCTGAAGCAAGTAAAATTGCTTGTAAAACAGAATATTGTACAATATCTGCATGATTTTATCTGCTCTCAGTACTTCATAATCATTTTACATAAAAAGCTAATTCAACATTTTTTTTTTATTATTTCATTTCCTCTTTCCCTGTTTTTCTTAAGAATTTCTAATGGTCACTACTATCCAACAGATGTTAGAATTCTTCATCCTAGTTTCTTCTTAAGTTTCAAAGAAGTCTACTTAAAAATTCAAAATGCTAGAGATTACCAAACAGACACCTCAATTCAGTTCAATACAAGGGAGTTAAGTTGCAATTTCATTGTAGAACTTCTCCTGTATGATTGCAACAATTTGAGGGTAAACTGAGTGTTAACTTTCTGATCAGATGAAAGTAAACCCACATTATAAAGAAATTAATTCCCCGATGGACACAATTACATGGTAGAACATTAAATGCAATAAGCAACTTTTGATGCAAGAATCACCTCAATGCTTTACTACTGCATCACTGAGCAGCAACAAAAGATAGCATGGCAAACCATTGAGTTCTTCTAGAAAAAAGTTTATGGAATAAATCTTTGCAGCTGCTTTTACAAGACAACACAAGGAAAGCAACAGTGTGACCTAAAACACAATCCACTAAGATTTCCCATTGCAAGATTACAGTTTCAAAGAGGATTGCAAACATATATAATTAGTAAACAACTATCATTTATCTTGTGCTGAAATTCTTCAGAAAATATACTATATAGTTGATGATACATTTAGACTGCATGATAACATACAACAGTTCCAAACCACTGATTGAGCTGACAATTGTAATTAGAATATTTCCTACACTTTTCTCAGGCTAAAACAAAAACATTTTAAAGGAAACTATAAAACAAATCATAAAAAAAGAATCATACACAACCCTTTATATTAAACAGTAAAACATTACAAATGATGAGATGAATGTAAAGCAGGCCCACCTGCACCCAGTCTTCATTTAGAGTTGGGAATTTCATTGCTAAAGTACAAATTTACCTTAAACAGAATTAAC